TGGAGGTCTTGGATCTCAGTTCGCTCGCTCAACTGGAGATGCTGAAGTGCAGCCGGAACAAGCTGATGGAACTGATCATCAATGCCACAAATTTGCAGACCCTTGTAGCCGACCATAATTGTAAGCCTTCCTCTTACGCATTATATTACGCATTCCAGATTCAATTTTGTTTACATCAGTACTTACAAAAGTCCTAAACCTTTAGTTAACGCTTTAAAAACTACGTATCTACAATTTGTTGCTAAGTTTTTATAGTTGCCAAGATCATATCGCTTATACGGACGAAAGACGGATGGACAAAGGGTCATGGCCAGATCGACTGGGCTAGTGCTCCTGGTCTGATATATACTTACTTCTACGTTTTGCATACTTTCAATGAATATAGTATACCCTCTTACTCTGCGAGTAAGGGGTATAATTAATAATAATCCCACTACCTGAGTTTAAACTGGACTATAGCGTTCGCCCTTGTTTTTAATATTAATCGGATTCTAAAATATCGAATTCCAGATCTGCACAACATATCCACAACGAATACCCATCCAGTACCGCTGAAACTGCAGCGCATCGACATCTCTCACAATGGCTTCAGTGAGCTGCCCAACTGGGTCGGAGCATGTGCCTCCTTGACCGCCTTGGATGCTTCACACAATCGCCTTAACACCGTGGCAGGACTGTTACGCAACTACAGGATAACTGAACTGGTGTCCTTAGACCTGGCATACAACGATCTGAAGCAGCTTGACCAAATTCCCGAGGGCTTCTCCAGCATCCGAAGTCTGCAGTTGCAGAGCAATGAGTTATCAAATCTGCCGGACAACTTTTTTGCCGTAACCCACGGTCGTTTGGAAACACTGAATGTGTCCTGCAACAAGTTGTCCACCTTGCCACGCTACGAGCAGAATAACCATGCTGCGCTGGTGAATCTATCGCTCGCGGGAAATCACCTGAATGATAGCATCTTTGAGCCATTGCACAATGCCGCCAAGTTGAGGGTTCTTCACCTGGCCTACAATCGCATCGGAGTCCTGCCCGCCGCCTGTGTTCGCAACTGGCCGGAACTTGAGATCCTAGTTTTATCCGGTAATATGCTGCAACAACTGCCCGAGGAGGTGGCTACTCTCGGTCAGCTCCGGGTGCTTCGCTGTTGCAACAACCTGCTGCTCTGCACCCCGCAACTGGCGAAGTTGGCCATGCTGAAGGTCCTTGATCTCTCGCACAATCACCTGGATCGCGTTAATCTGCTGGCATTGGTCCCATCAAGAAATCTGAAGTACCTGGATCTATCGGGCAATTTGCAGTTGCAGGTTAGATATGAGAAAATGAACCCAGGGATATTGTTGACCAATGAAAGACCATATCCTTCAGGTGGACGAGCAACAGTTCAAGGTTTGTCAGACCCAGAGCCAGCGCCATTGGAGCCTAATCGATGTCTCCGGAAACAATAGAGCTGCTTTGCCCACAACAAAACTCAGACAGGTGAGTGCCCAACGGAATCAGAATAAGTCGACTGGGCCCTGGACCATGGGCTTTGCGGAAACTCCAGGTTCTGGTGACTGCCGGAAGCTCTCCGTTTACCAACTGAGGGCTACAAACTACGGGGGATCTGACGAAGCTCTGTACGGGATGTTCGAGGCAATGGAGGGCCGCGGGCGGGCCGCCCAGCAGATGGCTCATTTAGTGCCCGATCTGATGAAGCAGGAGCAGATGGTCAAGGATTCGGCGGTCAGGGATTACATGAAGTTTACCCTGCTGGCGGCGCAGCAGCAATGTGGCAGTGTGCGGAGTGCCGCCTTATTCCATCTGACCAGGACACGGGCTCCTTCAAAAGTAAGACCACTGAAGAGTAAGCGATATGTCCTACGCATGGCAAGCACAGGAGGCCTGGACGCCTATCTAATACGACGCACCTCCCAGTTGCGGCTTACCAAATCGGAAGGTATTCAAAAGGATCAGATCCATTCCATGCCAGATCCACATGTGTTAGAGGTAAGTTTCTACCAAATCCAATGATCAGTCCAATCAAATTGAAAGCGATTCCGTATTCCAGCTCATTCTCAGCAACGACGACGAGTTCTTGGTGGTGGGCAATGCTCAGCTCTGGTCAGTGATGGATATTGATCGTGCTGCCCGGGAGATCCGAAAGGAGGAGAATTCCCTGCTTGCGGCCAAGCGACTGGTGGACATTGCTCAAAGCTTTGCTGCGGCGGAGAATCTCAGTGTAATCGTGGTTCGTTTTCGCCATCTCGGTACGGATGTAGATCACCTGATACGGGAGCTAAAACAAAGTGTGCGCAAGAAGCCCCAGCCGGTTTCCTTACCTTTGTCCAGTGGATCAGTCTGTAAGCGAACGTGCTGCGACCGGAGCAACGCCTGTCGCCACCGAGCTATTGAACAGGAACCGCTGGCAGGACGATCGTCGCCAAGTGGGCAGAGTGACCGCGACCTGCTGGCCAAGGATAAGGACGATGAGTTCGTCCTAGCCCATGCCCGCGTCCTGCAGGAGGAGCAACAGCTGGAGATGCTGGACGAAACAGAGTCAGTTTCAGAATCAGTGCTTTCAGAGGAGCAGTTCAAGTGCTGGGAGTATATGCTGGAGCAGAACACCCAGCTTCTGTTTGATAAGGAGCTTAACACCATTTCCAAGTCATTCACGAAACACCGTACCGTTCCGAATGCCATAATGGCAGCTGCAGTTCTTCCTGAACGGAATGACTTTACCTCGAATCTGATGCGCAGTGTCACCAACAAGTTCATCTCGACCAGCACTCCCCAATTACCCCAACCGATTCCGACTTCTGTGCCCCTGGGCTCATATCATCAGGTGAAGCAATCGCCTCCTGGACACTTTGGCAGTGCCCTCTCCTTTCAGCAGGCCCACAGCTACGGGTATAACCTGTTTGATGCCAAGCCCCGGCCCAAGATTCCAGTAGGTACCGTAAAGCGGTCCGGAGGACCAAATTCAGCCTACTTTGGATCCCTTCAGCGCCTGATGCCCTACAATTTCGAGTACGACTTTGCCGTTACCCAGGAGCGGGAGAGAAACATCCTGGACGAGGAGGAGCACGACGATGATGACTTCAACGAGCACGAGAGTAGAATGCGAAAGTATTGGGGAGTGGCTACGACGGAACTTTAGCTTAATGTTGCTTACCCCGGGGTATTTACTGTAAGTTCAAATGTAAGAAAAAATTCGTTAGATAATTGCATTATTAGTTCTCTTAAGAGTCTATAAACTTTGAAAAGTCCTTGTTTGTCTTTATGTCTATGTTTTTCAACATTTTAAGAAAATAAAATAAGTATATTCGTTACTGAAATCCCCCTATTACAAACCGTCTTTCCGAAAACCTTTATTAGCGTAGTTATCGGTATAAACTGATTACCGATCTATCGATTTCCCTCACGTGGTGAACACCGATAGGCACTAGGGACTTTGTAGCACGTTTGGCATTGTTTATGTTTATTTACCATCAAATATATTATAACCATGCTCCTGCCGCAACAGAGACCGCACCACGACATCGCTAAGCTGTTCGCGGAAGCACGATCGGATTTTGTGCGGGTCAGCGCTCCAAGTAATTCCTACTATGCGAAAAACCGAGTACTTAATTACTAAAGCTGCAAATTTATATTCCAGTGGTCCGCTATAGTAAGCTGGAATTTCGGCGGTTGGTCCGACTAAATGGAGTACAACTCGCGTTTACGCCCATGATGATCTCAGACTCCATTAACAACAGCGAAAAAGCCCGCCAGAACGAGTTCTCCACGGGTGCGGATGACCAGCCGCTGATCGCTCAATTTGCGGCCAAGGATCCTACGGAATTCGTCACCTCCGCCCAGCTCATCTATCCGTATGTCGATGGCATCGATTTAAACTGCGGCTGCCCACAAAGCTGGGCAATGGCAAAGGGCTACGGTTGCGGAATGCTGCGCCAGCCGGAGCTAGTGCGTCAAGTGGTTCAGGAGGTGCGGCGCACTCTGCCTGCCGATTTCAGTGTCTCGGTGAAGATGCGTCTGCTGGGCGGAGAGAAGTCTTTGGAGAGCACTATTGATTTGGCCCGCCAGTTGGAGCAAGCGGGAGTCACCTTCCTAACACTTCACGGACGGACGCCAGCCCAAAAACACTCTAAGGACACGCTAGACATCGCTGCCATGGCTGAGGTGCGCAAGTCCCTGCAGATCCCACTGATAGTCAATGGCAATGTGGAGAGCTATAGGGATGCCTGCGATATTCATGATCAGACAGGAGCAGCTGGTGTAATGGCTGCCCGAGGTCTGCTTGCAAATCCGGCTCTTTTCAATAGCAACTACCCAGAGGGCAAAACAACGCCATTGTCCTGTGTACAACAGTGGCTAGATATAGCATCTGCTGCCGGGGATAATCTGCTGTTTCAATGCTTTCACCACCACCTCACCTTCATGTGGAGCGCTCACATGAAGCGAGATTTACGAGTGCAATTCAACAGTTTGAGTTCCAAAGAACAGGTCGTGGACTTCCTGAAGGAGCACCACAATCTGGAATATGCTGAGGATGAATCAACGGCGGCTGACTACACGGATTGCACGTACACCCACTTCACACCGCCCAAGCACGCCCGCCACCTTGCCGCCGAGTCGGATGAACAGGCTTGGAGTTCAAAAAGCGACGGAAAGTTTTTTACGGAATTCAGAGCCCATCAGTTGACCGGAACTGGAGGAGAAGATTTGGAACTGGGAGGACTCTTTGGTGACGAGGAGTAAATTCTTTTATAAATATATCCCTTGTTGGGTGGGCTTTAAGGTTGTACAGAACAAATATAAATAGGTTGATATCTAGTATATATGCATCTTGTATACAATGTAATTATACTGAAAAAACAATTGGAGTTGCATATTTTATTCCCCATAAAAAAGGTAAGCCAATACTAAAGTTCATAAAAGATAAATGGATTTCCATTTTTAAAAATTCCCGCCTTAAGGTAATAATGGAAAACGTGTGATGGCGTTATCGATATGTTGAATAACGTATGCCACCTCTGGCGTACTAGTGTATTCGATAACTTATGTGCTTAATCGACATCGAGATATACAAATTGTATACTTCCTCCCCAAAAAGAAAACATCCTGGAAAAATGCGACGCCGCGAACTGCAGACCATCCAGCTGAAGCTGTCCGATCTCAAGGAGTACGAGCAGGCAAAGATGGAGCGCTTGAGGAGCCGCCAACAGTTGTTAACTCCCCGTACGCCCACGCCCCCTTCCGACAGCGAGGTCCTGCCAGCAACCTCCAGTAGCGTTCCAGCTGTTCTCCTGGCCAGCGGTAAGAACCTGGACGATGACGCCGAGAAGTCGGAGCCCACAACCAAGCCCAGCACATCCTCCACCTAGGATCTATCCTTGATGAAGCAAGGTAAGTTCTCGCATACAAATGTATATTATCGTTTACATGGGATAATCGTCCGCCTGGCTGTTGTTGTTGTTCTGAAAACGAACTGTCTCAAAACCGTCGACAAGGATTTCGCGATCGTCGGTTTGTTGTCGGTCCCGCAGCCACTGCTCCCGCACGGGCACATATCGCCGGAGTCCCGGTATCTTTCTCCAACATCGCCGTTTGTAGAGGACCCAAACCAGCGATATACTGCATCCGAACAGGAAGCAGATCAGGAATATGCTAATGCCGCGGCCATGTGACGCTGTGGCTGCCATGTCTGTGATTTCTGGCAAAAGTTCTTTGGCCTCCCTGCTATGAAACGCCTGGAGGCGGTCCTCGTCGTTGCACACGCTGATTGGCATGTAGGGCGTCATCACATCTCCGGCCAGGGAATGAACCCGCACAGCGCACTCGGTGAAAGTAATGTTTATCTGCTTTATGTACACGTAGCCGGCACTTTGGTGATCCATCCGCGTTACGCACCCGACGTGGGTCTGCGAGAAGTTGTTGCGAAAGTGGATTACATAGTTGGTCACCACGCCATTGGGCTGCTTAGGCTCGTCGAAGCGCATGATGTACTTATCCATTTCCGGAACGTGGCAGGCATACAGTTGGGTGAGAAGATCGGCACCCATTGTATAATTCGTTCGTCCGTAGAGAGTAGTGTGGCTACTGCATCCGAGCAGATTGCAGGCTTGCAGCTGAAGCGCATACAGGCGATAGCGATGCAGCGCCTTGAGCTCGTACTCTGTGGTGTTTCCCGGCAGCCGAAGCTGTGGAAGAGTGACCTCTGACAGTGCCAGTCGACGGCACTGCTTGCGATCATCAAGGGAGCAGCGATATTGCTCCCTCATGTCCGCAATGAAACGAGAGTCCTCCAACTGCTCTGCCTTTTGGGCACAGCAGTCGTCGTAGTCCTCGTACGCTATCCACTTGGGGCCGTCCATGTCCTGCCACACGTACGACGGCTGGTGGCAGTAGTTTCTCTGCTCTATATAAGCCCGATCATCGCTTAATTCGAAGACCGTAAGAACAAAGCTTAGGTGGTCGTGACTAGCCATCCGAACCGTCAGCGAGCTATCCGTCTTCTTGACCAGCTCCAGCAACGGAGGCTTGGGAATGTCCAGTTCCGTCTGCACGTAGGTCAATTCGCTGCGTGTGTCATACGCCTCATGCGCCTCATCATTGCCGAAAGTACGTAGCAGGACAGCATAGCGTGTGTCCGATTGAAGGTCATCCAAGTCGAAAAGATAGTGTGTGCCATTTTCGATCAGGTTGTCAGGGAAGAGCAGGCGTCGATTCCAGTTGATTCGTGTACATATGGGTGCTTCCAAATCACTGTCTTCATGGTACAGTTTTCCCGGCGATAAAGGTCGGTGGATCAACTCGATCTTCTGGCTTGTTTGTGACTTAAGCCAGCTTAGCTTCACAGACCGATGGGTTCTTTTCTGAATATAAAAAAAAAATTAAATAAGTAAAATACAATATTTATAGGGAAAGCTAGCGCAATTTACCTGCACAAATAGCTGCAACTTTGAGGGACTGCACTGCACTTCCTGGTCGTTGGTCTGCAGGGAGTCCAGGGCTCTATCATGGGTCACACCGTTTTGGAACTCTCGCATCCTCCGGTTGCACAGTTTGTTATTGCGATGCATGAACATGCCGCCCTCCATGAACTCCAGTTGCCGCGAAGGTGTCCACAATTCGGACAGCTGCTTATTGTCATAAAGTATGAAGGAGTAGTGGCGATTCTCTAGGGGATCACCGTGGACGCGCTCCAGGTTCCTGAGGAACTGCAAGCTTCTTAGCTGGGAGGAACTGCGGAATGAAATACATAAGTTTAAATGGCAGTGAAACAACCAAAACAAAATTGCTTACCGATAGACTTTAACATGCCCCCGAACCTCGCGGATACTAGTGAAGCTCTGGAACAGCTGCGTCTCGTTCACTTTGTTGCGGATTGTGATGACCAGACTGCCATTAAAAATCTGACAGCCACGCAAATTCTCGGCATCAGCCAGGTTGTATACGGTGAACGCTTTTCCAGGCCACTCCGGCGTGCAGAAACTGATACAAGCCTCATCGGGACCACAGAGCACGCACTCCGACCTGTTGTCCTGTTTGTAGCCGCTGGGACAGAAAGCCACGCATTGTGATCCGGAAATTACATGGCCATGCTTTACCACACACTCATCCTTGGTATAGCAGCGCTGGTAGTTCTCCATGATGTACCTGTAAGGCACTAAAACATATAGAGCCGTATGCGGCAGAATGTGTGCACTCACTTGTCCTTCGGACAGCTCTTCACGCAGACACCATTATCACTGAGTCCGCGGCAGACGCTGCAGTCAGCGGCGGATGTTGAGTTGCTCTTGCAGCCGCCCAAGCATTCCTCATGGCAGGCGTTTATGTTTCTGCGGTGAATTTAGGATTAGTATTCAACCTTTGCAGGAGTGGAGTCTAAAGGCTTTAGTTTTACTTACGCCTTTGGATTGACAACATTTTCGTTGACGGATCTTTGGCAGTAATGATTCGACCAGCAGTGGATGGAGCTGCATCCAGAGCAAACCGGTGTGCTACAGTTTTTATTGACCATTATGATTTTGTTCTCGCCTCTGGTGAGAGTCAGCAGGTCCCAATTAACCCGGACAATGCTGCAGAGCTTGGGGCAGTTGCCGATGTAGACTTGTCCTCGTTGTATGGCCACCAGCTTGGGAAAAGCCAACTGGAAGTTCAGGAGTGATCAAAATGGGGATTATTCTACGAGCACTTTGGGGATCAATCCTTTTCCTTTTCAATGGTGTAAACTGGGGATCTCACCTGTTCAAGCTCGTACATGTTGGTTACGCCGAGCGCGTAGTTCAGGAACAGCCGGCGACCCCGAATGACGGTCAGGTGCGGGAACATCTCGGTGATGTTAACCAGGCCGCGCACGTCGGTGAAGATCATGAACTCGGTGATCTCGGTGAGCAGCGGGTATGTGTATTCCGAGAAGTTGCAGCGCTGTTCGATGGCGATCAGCGTGATCATCACGTATCCGGTGACCACGGTGCAGTTGTCCAGTAGATGCATGTTCTTGCAGTCGTTTCGGATGTCGATGCTGGTGCACTCGTGCTCCGATTTTGGTTCGGCGCAGGCACCATATAGCGCCAGCAACATGAGGCCAACGCCCAGCAGCATGTTGCCGCAGTGCATGTTGCCAAGCTGGGACTTGAAAAGAGTTTTGAACTTTATTTTTCGTTTTTCCTCTTTAGCTTCTTCTGCCGGCGGCGATGTCGCCCCCACATATTGCGCTGCTTCTGCCGAACCTATGTTCTTTCGATCCGATCGGCTTACAGTTATATGTAGCACTCCCAATTAGCGCCCTGGCTCTCCAGCGTCCATCTGATTAGGCCCGATATTTATGACTTGGGCGCTTTTTTTAAGCTCTCGCTATCGATGGCGAAATATCGCACACGGAGGGCTGGCTTTTGTTTTTAAATATACGCTAATTATTTTGCTTTTCTGTCTAGATCGGAAACGTAAACAAACACTTTACCACACAAGCGCATTAGGCACGTCCAAAACAATTTCTTCGATCGTATTTGTTTATTGTTGTTTTTTAAGGGGATTAGTTTGGCCTCGTGCAGGGCGATCTTCTGCTCTTATATTCACTCGCGGGGGTTGCCATACATTCCGATCGTCTTTTTCTAATGGAGAACCCTAAAGTCACTTTATGGTCTGTTGGCAGAATGTCTCATTCAAAAGAAACACGACCGTTTGCCTTAGATTTTCAGTATCTCAGTGTAAGATTTTAGTATCTCGGCGTGAAGATCTTTAGCTTGGAGAGCAAGTGTGTTTAAAATAAACATTCTTGGAATATTATTAGTCGAATTCACTGATACTATTAATTTATTCACTCATTCTATCGTTCCCGTTTTAAATTTTATAGACAAAAATTTGATTATAATTCTATTTTCTTTATATTGTTTATTTTTTTTTAGATACTTTTCTATCAAATGTATACAATTATTAATTAATATACCTTTTTTGTTTTTTTTTTTTTCAGGGGACTTCAACACTTTAATCGTCACTACCTCAATGGACGAAGCACGTAGTTTTTAAAATCATATTTTTTAGTGTATACCGTAAAAATAACTTAAGCGTTTCGCGCAATGCACGCGAAATTGGAATTGATCGTGGGAGTTCACTAATATATTTCAGCTATATTTAATAAGGCACCACAATTGTTCGGCGCCAAACAGCCAGACTGTTAAATATAAGAATTATAAAAAATAAAAAAAATCCAGCATTTCATTCCTGGGCGACTTCAGCTGGCCACACACACGGCAGCAATGGTATGCAATTAAAATATTTTGAACACTGTTCGGAGGATTTTTTCGCCCGGTGCAAAATTTGAAATGCGAGAGCCGCCGACGATGCTCACCTCGCGACGATCGAATGCCGACTGCCGACTGACCGTCTGGAAACCTCGTCCGTATGTGGAGAGCAAACAAATTGATTTTCCATTTAGTGGCTTCTGCCCCAGCATCGCCACCGTCCCCGGGACCTCGCCGATGGCCAGATACTCTGCCTTCAGCGGGGCCTGCGTTCTCGTGAATTGATTAGGCGATCGTTTGATTTCTGCGGGAATGTGAGCCAGTTAAGAAGCTTATGCAATGGCCAGCAGTCGGGAAATGCGAGGAATTCCATTCTATTTCGTTTCTATTCCCTCTTTGGCGCAGTGCAGCCATTTCGATTACTATGGGCTCCAGCTCCAACTCCAGCAGGCTTGCTCCTGCCAAACCACCAGCTGATCCCAGTGGCTCATAAAAACAGCTGACTCCAATTAGCCACATGGCACCGGTACCGGCATCTCGGACTCTTCTCTCCGCACGCACATGGACAACTCGAGGTCCAGGCAGGAGAATTCCCATGCAGAGTCTGAAGCGATTAAGTTTAACGAGCCGGCAATGAGGAGTTTCGGAGAGCGAAGAATGTACTCAGAAAAGCAGGATGAGCTCTGTGCCACAACGGAGTATTCAGGCTTAAGTGAATTCTAAACAAAGTAGATCGAGAAGGGGCTGAGAAATTTAAATTTTTGTTCTTTGCCTTTCTGAAATATCCGCTTTTTTTCTGTGTACTGTGTTCGAAGTCAGTGGGTTACCTTGATTAACTCATTTGATGAAAAACGCAATTGAAAAATGTCTGTGCTATAATAAAAGGAGAAGAATTGCTATTGCTGTCTAAGGAATTTTCTTTTGAGATTCGAAACCAGTGCTTAAAGTTCTATTCAATCATTATTTAAAAACTCAAAGCTATAATCGCAAATCTGACTTCTTTGCTTCTTAAAAAAAGTTACAACTAATCATTAGAACTCGATACGATACTCGATGCTTGAAGAGTAAGGTTCCAAAGGTCCACATGCTTTCCTTCCCTACCGTCATCTTATTTGTATAATAGATCATTTTCTTATTTTTCAAGCCCCGGCGAGTGGTTCGTGTCAGAGTTCAATTAATTCAATTAAGTGATTGGGTGCGTGTAAACTCAGATCAACATATCAGATCAATGGGAGGCGCCACAGAACGCAGCAAGCCTTCTACGATGACTCTGAATAATATTCCGATGCTAGTATTTATTCATATTTTATTTAAATAATGCAATTTTAGGTCTAGCTTAGGCTGAGCCTACTCCGGCGGCGTGTTATCGTGAATCCACTCGGAAAAGTGGGCCACGGAAGTGTAGACACTCGGAATGCGAAGGCCGCCGCAGTTATCAGATCCGAAGGACATGATGCCGATCTGTGGGATAAGTTATGTTAAGATAAATGCATCCCCAATAAGAGAAGTATATTTATAAATGAAATGCTGCATTTTGAACGGGTAGAACGAGTGCGTTTCATTACCTGCGAGAAGATGCCGTTCTCTTGTATGAAAAGCGGTGCTCCACCGAATCCCTGGCAGACGTCCTTGCCCTCGCCGCCGGCGCACATCCATTGACCCTCGATGGAGTTGGGCGATTCCAGGGCTCCTGTGGACCCGTAGTTCCGGAGGCACAGGTCCCAGCTGGTCAGCGGCACGTCCAGATGCGACATCTCCGGCTGGCGGACACTCGACGTCGACATCTTGCCCCAACCGGCGATGGTAGCCCGTTTTCCCACCACCAGGTTGGCGCGTGTCTTCTGCAGGCAGATGGGTTGGGTAGCCACTGGCGGTGCGAGAGTGGAAATGGGTTGGCCGCCATTAATCTTGCGTTCGACTTCTGATCGCTACCTTCCCAAATCGGCAACATTGTTGTCTGGCCCCATGGGTCTTGCATATATTTTTCAAAGGGGGCTTCCAGAAACAGAACTATTGAGTGCGGAACACGATTTCAGAGTCCAATGACCAATGTGCCTATTAGATGGTATCGAAAGCCGTATAAAAATGCAACCTAATTTATTGGATATTTGTCAGAAGCGCTGCCTTCCACACGTTCCACACGGTCCGAAGTAATAATTTTGATTGTGCCGAAAAAAGGGACGCCCCATTCGTACACGCCCTTGCTCTGGACCCTTTGATTTATCTCGGGCCGCGGTATTTTATTGGGCATTATAAAGCAATAAGGACGAACGCAAACAAGTTGGCCAGCCAACTGGCGACGCCCCTTTCGGGTCGCCGGTAATGATCTGTTTACGAACTGGCCAAATTGCAATTAGCCAATCGATTGCCTCGTCAATGACCCCCATTTGATATGCTATGTGCACAGGTGATGCTGCGGTGTGGTTTTGCGCCTCCAAATTCACTTTCTGGCCATCCACATCACGTTCGACTTGATTTGAGTCCGCCGCAGCGGGAACTCACAATTTGCAAGTTTTGTTTACGAAAAAGCCAAGTTCTGAATGAAGCGAAGAGCTGAATGGACCAGGCTTCCTTGTTGCGTGCAAGAAAAGTTGCTTTCGAGCTGGGGTAAGCCATTACCGAAGCCATTCATGCGAGGCCAAAGGCTACAAATCGAAGTGGATCCAGTGACCAGGTCGCGCTCAACCCATTAGTTGGTACAGCAAGCACGCAGCAAAGCCCGACGCCGCCCAATTAAGTGACATGTGGGGATCGGAAGCCCCAACCTCGAATCAGCTACATATGTACATGTCATGTGAGCTTGGGGCGAGAGGGCCAGTGGGCCAGCGGGCCAGAGGCCGATTGGAGTGGTCGGAGAGATGACAGAACAAAACGATTTTTAATTAACGCCGACACCGCCGAGCGTAACCACCCATTGGACTCCGATATACTCGTATGTATAAGGTACGAGTGTATAGGGGTCCCTCCCAGAACTCACCCGAATAGTTTAGCGGCGTTTTCAGCACCAGCAGAGCAATGTCATGGTGATACTGGCCCTGCTTGTAGTCGGGATGCACGATCACATGGCTGATGGCGTGGTTGACCGACCGCGGGGCACAGAATCCGGTGTTGGCGCAGTCCGGATCGCTGCTCGTATCGTACTCGCCCACGCGCACAGATGACCTGCAAAAGTGCGAGGGGAGAAAGTCGATCAGATGGCTGCCCTACCAGCGCGGACGCACTGCACCCAGTGACCAACTTACAGCCGGTGTCCGTCGGCCTTGGCCAGAGCGCAGTGGGCGGCCGTGAGGATCACCCGGCGGGCGATCACGGCTCCAGCACACGGGTAGGCAAAGGCTCCAGTGTTGACATCTGAGTAATAATTCAACAATAACATTTAATTGGCATTTAAGAAAGGAATGTGCGTAATTGTTGCGACACAATGCTATGTCAAAATACGTATTCTGGACAAACTAACATCGAATACCCAGGGTATATTGAATAAAGGGAATGCACGATTACTCAATGCTTAAGGATGCATTTTATATCTGTAAGATATAAGACTTACGTTTGAAGCCGATGCGCGCGACGAAGGGATAGGAGCCCAGTCCCTTGTAGAAGTGGCCCTGGACCAGCGACTTGCCGCACACCTGGTTCTTCTCCAGCGGACTGCTGGGGCAGCAGACGTAGGGCAGCTCCTCGCTGGCTCCGCCGCAGTAGAGCGACTTGTCGCCGTAGTAGCAGTTCCGGGCCACCTCGTAGATCAGGGCGGTGCAGTCGTGGAGCGGGGTGCACTCGGTGCCCACGGAGCAGCCCGTCTGTCCGGCGTTCTGCACCACGTCGTAGTAGGAGCGGGCGGCCACCGAGTGTCCAGCCGTCGCAGTCTCGTTGCTCCGTACTCCGCTCTTCTGCTCTGCGTTCCCGTAGCTCACGGGCACCAAGAGTTTCTCTGCAAGATGCTTGTGTTAGGCTGGGTCTTGGTATTGAACACTATAAAAATCACTCTGGAAACACTTTCAGATTCATTGAAATACTGCGCACTAGCCGTTCCATAACCTTAATTATTGTTTGATTCATCTATGACTTTGTGACTTTTATTGGCTTTTGAAAACAGCCACTTTTTAGATTATATCCTACCGAATTCGCCCGATTCCGCTCGAACGACTGCGAGGAGTGGCAAGACCACACAAAGAACTGGTAACGCGTGCATTTTCCCAACACTCTTCATATTCGAGAATACTTTACACTTCTTAGTTGAAATACTATTCGCAGGTGTGAGGGCTCAAACTTTCGGTTTCCGGCAATTCGAACCGTGCAGGCGAACAAAACTCTGTCAACTAAGCGCGGCGATGCGCCAACTGGCCGATCTGGCCAAATGAAAATGAAAATATAGGTATCCACACAGGCAGATAAGCGTATCGCACACACATCCACTTCCATGTACTGGTCGGGCGGGGTCTGCGGTTATTAACTGATTTTTATGACAGTTCGGTCTCGATTCGCGAGGCAGCCATTTCCAGGCTGTAATTTACCCACTTGCCGGCCAGATACACATTTCTATGGCATTTGATGGCAGAACACGCGGATCCGTCCGTCCATTGCAAGCGATCTCGTGAATCCGTCCGCAGTGCACTGTACTCTACTGTACGAGTCTGCTTTTTCCCTTCTGGCCATTGCTGGTCGTTTTGGTAAAAGTGAGTTTGGGGTCGGCGGGTTAAGCCTAGCAGCTATTGGATACTCTGTAGCAAAGCATTCCGCTTACTTTGAGCTTTTGAAGTAACAAGTTTAAGATACGGATTTCACTACTTCAGAGTGTTATAGCTAATTAGCTGCTATTTGTACTTTTAAGTCAGTTCCTCTCCTTTCTTCCATTGGTAGGGAACTACAAACTGCACTTCGCCTGTACTTTCCCCTGTTTGGTGATGTATGCTATTATTTAAGAGAGATTAGCTGCGTTTCTCGCATTCTATTTTTGGGTAATAATAAAATATGTTGAATGAGATCATTTAGATTTGATAAGCTGCGCATTTCACTGGACAAACGGCCAGCTGGTTCCAGTTTTTTAGGCAGGAAAACAAGCGCGACAAACGCGCATTAAATTGCTTAATACGGGTATACTCGTACATACATATGTATGTGTTTGCTGGTACCACTGACCACCAAATTGTTTTGTAATTTTATGCTGAATTTTCCTTTTTTATTGTCGAACATTTAATGGCCGCATTTAACGCCACTTGGCAGACACTCAACCGAAGACATAATTTCACTTTTTAAATTTATGTGGGCTTCTGTTGGCCGATCTCCTCGGGCTCGGACTCACTATCCAGGCTGGACTCGCTGGTCTCCTCGTCAGATGATGCAGGGTCCGTGCAGAACGAGATTGCCTGGTCTTCCTGGGAAAACTCATCAAAGTATCCTTGCATCTCGTGGTCGGCGAGCTCCGGAACCGGGTAGTTAGGCAGAAGCTGGCGGAATACGGTGTAGCGATCCCGCAACTGGTCACTCACATCCTCCGGACGACGCTCCTGGCTCTGGAGGTGCTGCAGCACAGAGAACAGATGGACCCGGTTGGCAATGCTGCAATCGGGGAGCAGATTGCTCTCCGCCAGCACATTGAAACACATGGTGCTCGTGCTCAGTATGGCAGTGGATGCCCTTTCTTTTCCCTTCGTCTATAAGTCTTGATATCTGTAAAAAGCTACAAATTTTGATAGCAGCTTGTCCAGTTCGGAATACTATAAAATTGAGCTAGTAAATTTGAACGTAAAAGCATTGCAAATAGTTGTAACTCTGTCGCGTATTTTAGAGAGAACAAAAGTAACTTATTAATTGCAATGTTTATTGTGACCGTTTTACATTGAATATTGCATAATTATAATTTACCTGTTAAACTGTTAACCCATTAAATGGCCAACAAAAGAATGCCTTTCCATGTGGACGGAAGCATTGTATGTATGTACATACTTATGAGTGTGCAAAAAAGTTAGTTTTGCTATCCGCGTTACCGTTATGTGGCTCTTATTGCCGTTTTGATGTGCCCATTAACGTGTTTAAACTGTCAGTAAAATGCTGAAATATTAATGACGATCTCACATAGGGAATTACCCTCCGCTCTGTATAAAACATCAACAAAATTTAATTGTTTGGGGTTATATGAGATGCAATCACTACGGGCCTTAGATATAATGTACAATTTTCATCAAAATTAACCCCACAACCCCCGTTGATTTAATAAGACCCTTAGAACTGGATCTTGAGAAGTAGACCGTTCGTAGTTACGGCTTTTTCTTAAAAGTCTTTGCCGGGCTGTAGGAGTACCAACCCTTATAGGCTTGGATTGATGTCAGAAATAGAGCACCGATCAAGAATCCGAGGAGCTTCATCGTTCCAAATGTTGTGACGTCCGAGATGTATAACACTATAGTAGCCATATTTTACGCCATTCAAGCGGATAATTTAATTGATATGCTCAACACTTAAATTGCTTGGATCTGTACACTCGCTAAAAGTATTCACTTATAAGAAAAGCCACTTTTAGGCGCCCAAAAATTATTCCTCCGTAAGAAATTTTAAATTCTTGGGAACTGCTTACATTTATTAATATTGTAATACAAATTTACTAAAATTCACGCCTTGTGTTCATTATTTTAAAAGGGTAGATTCGTTTTAAACGACTTATAAACGATATGGTTTAAATTTAATATTTGCCTGCTGTTAGGGAAAGAGAGCTTTTTATAGCACTACTAAGCTTTGAGTCAATGTTATACGAATGTTAATGCAAAGCTTGCATTAACAGAACATAGCTAACAGACCATTTTTAATTTAAATTCATAGCATATAATACCTCCTTATTTAAGTATTGGGGAATCAAGTAATATATATATTTTCCCCTTAAAGACCTTAAGAACCTTAAATAAGTTCGAGTATTACAAAATCATAGGAAGAGAACTAGTTCTTAAGCTTTAACTTCGTAACCCAGCTATTGCGCTCCGTGGAATCGGAGATCTGACAGCGACACAACCTCTTTCTCTGCGATATCAGCTCGGCAAACTGGGCAACTATAGGATCCCGACCGCAGGAGGCCACTGAAGTCACCGTATCTTTGTGATCCAAGAAGTAGGCTACGAACTGCAGATCCTCGAGACTACCGTCGATGACGACATCCTTGTAAAGTCCATATCCTGCGGAGCGAAAGGACCTGCCAAAGATCGAGGTATAGAAAAAGGGAATGGCTTCCAGCTTCGCAATGTGGCCACTCATGTTCATTGCAGCAATGCGTCCGTGGTATTGGGCCAATCCGTAGTGGCTCATATTTACTCGATCTGGGAACCCACCCAAGATAAATGCATTGGCTATATCCCCACCCACATACACATTGCGTACGCTTGTCTGGAGAAAGTCGTTGACATCCACGGAGCCGTCGGCATTGATGCCTATGCCACTCTGCTGGATAAACTCCGTGTTGCACCGACAACCTGTGCCAAGAAGAAGCAGATTACAGGGGATTCGCGACTTATCCAGGAGTTCCACTGCAGTCACTTCCCCACGATTGTTTCCCAGGATCCGGATGATTCCACTGCTCATGCGCACATCTACCTCATGCTCCTCCAGGAGTTTCAGTATCCGCTGTCCCACCAACTCACCCAATGTGCTTTGGAATGGCACATTTTGTCGGGCTACCAGGGTAACGCTGCCCGCTCTGGAAACGAGATTGGCGGAAGCTTCCACAGCCATGAAACTGGAACCCAGGCAGACCACTTGCGTTGATTTGCCCACCATTTGGAATATGCTCCTGGCGTCGCCAATATCCCGAATGGTTTTCACATTTTTCAAGTGCACCCCGGGTATGTTTGGTCTGATAGCGGAATAGCCTGTTGCTATATAGATTTTGTCATACGGAAACGATTTGCCATTAGTGCAGTGAAGGATGCTGCACTTCGTATCCAACCTTTCGGCGGACACTCCCAACTGCACCTCTATGCCGCAGTCCTTGTAGAACTGTTCTTCCCGAAGGCACAAGTCCTCCGTATACGTGTTCAACAAGTTCATCACCCCTATTCGATCATAGGGCAGATATTTCTCCCGGCAGACCAGCGTCAACCGACCAGTGAAACCCTCCTGGCGCAGCGTCTCCGCACAGATAGCACCTGAAGGACCACCGCCCACCACCACAAAGCTTCTTCGGTCCTGCCAGTTACGACTTACCATTGGTTTCATTCTTGAGTGTTTCAGAAAATAAGATCGCTTGACTTGTACGAGCACCTGGCCTCTGGAGTCGACATTAACTCGATGACAGGGCAGCGAGTCTAGTCCCGGAAAGTTCTCAATATCACCGGTTTCCAGATTGAAACAAGCTCCGTGCCAAGGGCATCGCACCCGATTCCTGGACAGAACACCTTTCGCAAGGGGAGCTCCACGGTGAGGACACTTGGCGCCAAACGCCCGCAGGATTCCACTTTGCTTGACCAGAAGGATGCTCGGTATTCCGCTTAAATCCAGTTGCCTCATCTCATTTTCTTGCAATTCGAGCTTGTGGCACGCGACCACAGGATCTGTGTATTCATGTGCTGCCATTTAATATGTGGAACTCAGTTGAGTGAGTCATATTAATTGACAGTATAAAAAGGGAAAGTGTGAATCAAAATCAAAGCAATACAGAACGATATGGTCGGAAAACACACTATCAGATACCCATTAACCATCTAGGGCGTGCGAGGCACATGACTAGATCTTAATTGAGAATATATATACTTTATAACAAAATATATACGATTATAACAAAAAGATACCAAAGAATTCTTGGGGAGATCTTAAGAGCGTAAAGTAATTAAGTACACCTTTCTGGTTAACAATTTTTGTTGTCTTTTATTCTTATGTGTCAAATAGTAATTTATTTCATCGCATTCGTTTTATCATTTACGTAGTTGCTGTTTTTACTGACATTTCTATTTGGTTGAAATATTTTTGGTTTTTGTAATTCTTTTATTCGTTAGATATAAATACGACATCACGTTTTCGTAATTGATATTTCTCCTATGCAATTTTCTTGTATTCCTATATAAAGCAATAAATAACTTGTTGATGTTGGTTTTTGTTTTCCGGGCAGGGCCTAACCAATGTTGTGCTCGCCATGCCCATGCTCGCATTTCTTTGACGCTATACAGACTTAATTAATTTAAAATTCAGTTTTAGTTTCCATTCACTATACACAAATATACAATATTTACAATAAAATATCAGGGCTACGAATCTAAATGATAGAGCGAAGTAATCGTTCGAAAACAGATAATCATAACGCCTAGTAACATTCAAGCCGTGTCAGGTGTATCTTCAAGCTAAGCCCACCTTTGGCAAACCGAAGTGAAATCAAGTATTTTGAGCAAATTGTGTTTTGGATTTTTGTTTCGGTGTAGGCTCTCTCAAAATTAAGAAGGCTTAGTGCATAAAGAATAGGGTGTGGATGTGGGTGTGTGTGTGTGTGTGAAAGCCACGCGCAGCGTTGCCACCTTTCTCACGGGCTAAGCTTTCCGTTCATGTTGCTGCAGTCGGTGTTGCAGCTCGCCAAGTCACATGTTGCTGCCTCTAATGCTGTTGCTGTTTGTTGCTGTTGCTGCTGTTGCTGTTGCTGCTGTTGCTGTTGCTGCTGTTGCTGATGTTGATGTCGTTGCTATAGCTGCGACGAATGTTGATGCTGCTGCTGCTGCTGGGCAGCGGCCAGGAGCAGACTGCGCGACTGCATCTCAAAATAGCGCAAGAGCAGATTCGAGTATCAGTAATGTACGCCGGGCGCCGACGGATTGGGGGCGGTACTGACGCTCACGCCGCCACTCGCAGCGCCGCCGCTGCTGCTGTTGTTGTTGTTGTGGCTGCCGCTGCTGTTGTTGTTCGCATTGTTGTTGACGCTGGTCGTATTGGTGCTGCCCGAGTCGCCCAGCCAGGAGTCGGGACTGGGCGGAAAGTCGGGGTAGCCCTGATCGGGACTGGAATCGTTGCTCAGATCGGAGACGTTGTTGCTATTGTGCAGGCGGTGGTGCGCCTTGCTGGCATGCAAGCTAGACCCCACCGCTTGATCTGAAAACAATGCTCCAGTCATGAGTTCTGAGCAATAAGCGGCTTGGGTCACGCTGACACTCACCTATGTTGGTGTACACAATGTTATCCGGATAGGAGCCGAACGTGTGGCCCTGGCCAACTGGCGGCGGCGAGCGACTGCTCGGCGGGAACTGCGACGGACTCGAGCTGCCGTGCATGTAGGATCCGCGGATGCTGTGCGGCGAGGCGCCCTCGTCCAGGCCCAAATTGACGGTGCTGTAGCTGTCGTTGCTCAGATCTGCAAGAAGTGGAGGTGGGGATTGAGTTACACAGTCGTTCAATGGAATATGTTGGATTGGGTTCGCTTTTTCTAGTACTGAGAATCTTCTGTTTGCTCAAAAATAATGACACTGAAGCCTCTTTGGCTATCTTTCACCCAGTCACTAAGGTCGAGCACTCACCGTGGTGGCTGAAGCTGTCGTAGTCGACCTTCAGCTCATCCTTGTCGAGGAATTTGTCGGTGCGCGGCGAGCAGTTGCCCTTCATCGAGCGGAAGTACTGGCTCCAGCGCGTGCGGCCCGCGTCCTTTTTCAGTCGTTTCTCCTTGGCCCGCCTGCCAAAGGATGGGAGCATAGGTAAGGCATGGAAAGTAGGGGAAACGCAGTGGGACGCACCTGTTCTGGAACCAGACCTGCACCACCCGCATGTCCAGGCCCGTGTCCTGCGAAAGCTGCTCACGTACATGGCG